TATATATATATATATATATATATATATGTATCTGTTAATTCCAGTCGAAAGCTTCCTGCTGATTCAGGTCTTTTTCCAGGTTACGGACTGTGGGGCCAACAATAAACTGATTGACCATCACAACACCTGGACAAACATTAATTGGCAATTCGGTTCAGTCCTGGTATGAGCTGGTTGGCATAGTGGTAACACATTCCCTCCATGCGCGATGGGTCCGGAGTTCAAAGCTCGGACAGTGGGACGGTGAATATGCACTACTAATGAACTCTAATCAGGGCGACACTCGAGTCTAGTGCTTCAGAGTGTATAGTTGACCGGATGAACTGGGGATTCTGTGTGAAGGTCAAATTCGAAAGACAAGCAGTTTAAATCATTCTTTTAAATGTTTCATTATATGACTGTTCATTCCTTCCAAGATTATAAAGGTTTCCGCAAGTTTTTATCAGCTGGCTATGCTTTTAAATTCGCACCACAACCGCTTTTTGACTGTTTTAACAACCGGTTCTAGTGGTTAATGAAAGACGTATTCCTATAGCGCACGCATATACACTCTCTCACAAACACGTTTCCATTGAAAATTACTCAGATATTTCGCCTCACGCGGGAAATTGGTTGGGAAAGTGGCCAAATTCCCACACATTGATGATTATCGTGAGTGTATTCGGGATATGGATGAGAAACAGGCAATCACTATGCGCTATATCATCATGGAGATTCGCAATCATTATGTAGGTTTTTCGCTGTTCCGTTCGTACATATTTGTATGCATCTTTTTACACACCTCGTACCACTGTTCTAGTTATCAATTGCGTTTGTCTTGTTCGTTAGCCGAGTAGTTCTCGTTTTTGTCTATTGTAACGGTAAGATTGCGTAATTCAATGTTGATGGGATGCAATGCAGGAAATGTATTCTTACACGGTTATTTTTTCCTAATTTTTTTTATTGCACACTTTCGTGTGATGTACAGCAGACGGGATAAACCCCATAGTCACGAGGACCTGCTGTTCCTGTGATGGAAACCGGTAACCCAAGTTCTGGGACTTGGAGTGGTGAATCACATAAGACTGAGACTAGGGGTAGAGTTTTGGGTAAATACGGTCGCCCACTGGAGCAAGTGGTCGACCTCCATAGATTACGTTGGCTGGGACATGTGCTACGCATGTCACCAGGTAGGTTACCACGGCGAGCGATGTTCGCCGAAGCAGATACCGAGTGGAAAAAAGCCAAGGGTGGTCAAGCTAAGACCTGGCACGAGGGTATGAAAACCCTAACCAGGAAACTGGGTCACATAGGTCCTGTTAGGCTCCCTGGCTAGGGACCTCGGGATGATCGTAACCGATGGTTAGAGACACTGAGCGATATGGCTGGGTGTCGTAAACAGTGGCGTTCGTGCATCTCCTCAATTTCTTCCCAACCTTAGNGTCGACCTCCATAGATTACGTTGGCTGGGACATGTGCTACGCATGTCACCAGGTAGGTTACCACGGCGAGCGATGTTCGCCGAAGCAGATACCGAGTGGAAAAAAGCCAAGGGTGGTCAAGCTAAGACCTGGCACGAGGGTATGAAAACCCTAACCAGGAAACTGGGTCACATAGGTCCTGTTAGGCTCCCTGGCTAGGGACCTCGGGATGATCGTAACCGATGGTTAGAGACACTGAGCGATATGGCTGGGTGTCGTAAACAGTGGCGTTCGTGCATCTCCTCAATTTCTTCCCAACCTTAGAGCTTTGAACTTCTCCATTTTCCTTTCGAATCCACTTTCAACGTTCTTTTCTTCTCCTATTCTTCATCCCAATTGTCAGCCAAAAGACAGCAACCAAAACCGGCGCACGAAAGTGCATGGTTAATGGTTGTTCAAACTGAAAACTGAAACTGAAAACCACATAAGGCCCCGATAGGTTGGGGTTGATATTGAACCGGATCACAGCAAAGCTACCTACCACTAAAGTTGGGTGGCGGTGATGGGGCTCGGACCATAGGGTCCAAAGCACGCCTGTGCCAGACAGTCGGTTATTGACAGCGCAATCCGTGTCAAGTGCTGCATGAAGTTTTCCTCATACTGCCATTCACATACTTGTTTTTACTTTCCCACAATAATGTCCTGCTTGGAAATAATACGGTGCCCTGATCAAATAGCATGTCTCACCACTGAACAGCAGATCCTCATGACTGTGGGGTTCGCCTCGTCTTCTGTTCATCACACTTTGGTGTGTACTAAGACAAAAACGCCGACCAGTTTGTTGGGGGGATCGTGTTTTCCCATTCAGCATTCCGCGTTCAACTTCCTCGTATTTACCCATGATTCGGCTGTTTTCCGGACCCGGCGCTCAAAGATTAAACGCTTTTCTAGATAACTCCGTAGTTGACAGTGATAAGATGTAACCAAGCTACTGTGGGTGGTTGTGTTAAAGTAGTTTTAATGACTTTTCGATGTTACAAGATTTCAGTCGAAAGCTTTGCTTTAGTCAGGTATAATATCTCAGCTGACCTAGCGGGGCTGTATTTGGTTCGCCTGTTCAAATGCCTGTTTCTATCATTGAACAGAAAATCCTCTTGACGATGGGTTCTACTGTTCATCATACCATATATATATATATATATATATATATATATATATTCCAGGGATTTTAACCAACTTCTCTAAGTGAAATGCCAGTCGTTCACCGACCCGGTTGTAGCCCCGGATATTGGATTTTTGTCCCCTCACTTTAATGGAAAAACACCTCTGCCATGAGATGCTGAGTAGGGATTCCTCAGCAGAAGCTGTTTGAGACGTTTGGTGGCGAGGTACAAGGGAGGGGTGACTAGCCGCAACCCGAGACACCCACTCCCGACCATACTGAGGCATTCGGAAGCATCAAAATGCAGAGTAATGCTGCAAGACTGTCTGCGACGGCCACATCTAACGATCAGGAGTTGAGTATAAGATCTCTCTCAGCGTACGTAGTGTTGAAACGCTTTTGATNGAAACGCTTTTGATATCGTTTTTTTTCATTTTGAACTGCGACATATAGTGTACCTCGGTTCTACTTTACGGTTTGGATTTCTTGAATTTGTTTGTCGGAAATGTGTCAGATGGATGTTTCACTGGTGCATTTTGCTGCCGGTTGGATGCATCAGCAAGATGAAGAAAAGCTTTCCTTGAAAAATTCGGCATCCTATCGAATTCGGACGGGAAGATTCTGCTACTCAGAACATCGCATTGTTTGTGTGTATGTCTAGCGGTCTTTTACACAGCACACCTTATGCGCATTAGCCGCCCCGTGTTAGCCACAGCCATATCAACACGTAACATGATGGTGAAGTTCTAAAAAGCACGGAGATAATAGATTCAGTTACTAACTTCCATAAGCGGTTTCTTCTGAGAAACTGAACTGTATAGTAGGGAACTGAAAACGGTGGTGTTCTCGTCATCATTTTTTACCAGTTCCGGTGTGTATGCACAGATAGACTGTGTACTCTGTGCAGTGATCACGGCGAATCAGTTTTCCCTCCCCCTGAGGCTAGACTCAGCCTTTATCCACGTTCCCGCTTTCCTTGTATACGGCATGAGTTTAGTAGCTACCGACGAAGTTCGCTTCGTTGTATTTCGCTATACAGAGACATTGGTGAAGCGAGTTTCAGGAAGAGAGCTCTCTTACAGTACAAACAGAAAGGAGCAGTTCATATGAGCGCACCACTGAGTCTATCAATGAGGTTTCCCCAAACTAAATGGTACAGTAATTTTCATCTTTCAGTTTACTTCCTTTTATTGAACATATATAATCATGCAATTATCAGGAAGAGGGAAGCGATCGATCAGAAAGGGTGTCATACAGATTATAGGGCAAGTCAGGTGGCGCGCAGGGATTCGAACTGGTCCTCCTGAACGATAAGTCATGACCTTTACCGCGTAACCACTACCATCTCGCAAAACTGTCATTGGAATTCACTCGTCTTCTGAGCATCGTGTTGATACAAATCGAGGGCCGGATGGTTCATGCTTTGAAATAATCGTTCAGAGTGACCGACGTCACCCCAACAAACGCGTATTCATTTTGTTTTTCTTTTTTTCTCGTCACAGGCCACATTACATGATATCATTTTGAAGAATATTGATCGGATCAAGATGCCGCGCTCGAACAATGCAATCAATATGTACTAGGTTTAACCAATCTTGGTTCCCCATTTGCGGCTCCCCAATCCATCGCCCTTTCTAATCCCGTCTCCTTCCATTTCGGACACCCAATCTATCGTGACTATCACTCTCCCACCCTTGCCCCCATCCCCGGGTACCCCATCAATTTTTCCACAATCTGTTCTGTCCGGTTCACTCCACAACACTTTGTATCTGAATGTACATATGCGCAAAACTCCGAGAACTCCATCCCGGTATTCATTCGTGCATTATTTTTCAATCTGTGGGTCTGTTGTGATCTGTTATGATCACCCTGTTGGTTGTTGCTTACATGTGTGTGTGTGTGTTTGTGTGACAATGTTGTGAGCGTAAAGCTTTATGTGGACCTCTATTGTTCTGTTTTAATGCTTGGCACACGAGTCCAAGGTGTTAAACTCTCTCAACTCACGGTAAAGACATCTTTCCATGCGCAACTCATTCCATTATATCCCTGTTCTTAAGGAGATTACGGTTTCTCGCAGTGTATGCAGGATTAGTGGCCCTGTCGTTAGGCCGAGGTGTCACATCATCCATGTTTCTTATGGATACCATTCTGTGAATTTCGATCATATAGCGCAACTGATAACACGTGAATGTGGACTGTGCCTTGTTCATGAGTATCAATAAAGTATAAAAGAATGACAGGAGTACCAATTATGTACTCTTTGTTTCGGTTACAATAAAACGGACCATCCTTGATGCGATTTGCTCTCTCATCTTCCTTCGCAATCTAAAGATACTCGTGGGTTTGTTTCCATATGACGAAGGCTGAATTGGTCTTTAGGCAGTTACGAAACCGTCTATGCGATTTGGGGAAAGCCCCCAGAAATATGAGAAAGGACGTTCATGATTAGACAAACGGTGGTTAAATGTTTTGTTCTGCAATTTTAGTCCAACAAGTTCGAGTGATATTAGGTATAACACTAGACATCAGTCAGTTCTCCACTTAGCCATAAGCCCTGCAAATACTGTGCTTATCCAATCTGAACTAATGTGTGAGTGGCTCACGTTAAGCGTGTTGCGAAGTGGTCCTGAATAATAAATTTTCGCCTCGAGACGGTAATTTCAAAGACCTCGTGGTCTTTGACCTGCTCTTCAGTGGTGGAAATCGGCAACCTCAGCCCCGGGACTTGGAGTGACAAACCACATACTGCCCCGATATGTTAGGCATGGTAATGAACCGGACTACACCAAAGTTGGGTGGCGGCGGCGGCGGGGCTCAAATCACTTGTGACAACAACTAAACGACTGCGTCACCACCAACTAAGGAAGTATAACCATATTCAAACAAATGACAAATCAAAATCAGATCAATCCGTATTCTATTCTATGGTACAAATATAGGAAAATATCATTAGGTGTACAAATGTTATGCCACCCTCAGTGGTACGGCAAAAGCACACAGACAACGAAAACAGCATCTCATATGGACACTAACGTATCGCTTTTACTTCACGGCAAAGCACTGAACGACCGTACGAATTGTGTACAGTGTAGAAGGATGTGCGATTGAAAATGAAAAGAAAACCGATACGCCAGTAGTGTTCATGTGTGGTTGATTCCAGTAATACGACTACACAGCCGAGAGGGTGAAGCCAAATTCAATCGAATCCCGTGGCGGAACTTGTTCGATTCGTAGCGTTCCTCGGTGCTAGGTGGGAAACATTTTAATAGATATGTAACAAGTATGCCGATAACGCGGCATCAGTTTGGGGGACCGCTTCACGATAACTGATTGATGTGCACGTGTCGTTCAACAACGACTCCGAGCAACGCATGCATAGCCACGAACAGATTAACATAATGTGTTCACTCACATTCTGTATTAAAACAAACTCTAATTTAATGACATTCATAGTGATACACTATAGTACGCCCTTCCACAATGAAAGAACATACCGAACACTCGATACAGTCAGTGGAAATGCGAAAACATAGAGAGAACATGCAGGTGAACGCAATTTTCCGTCAGCGCGTGTTGCACGTGGAAAGTCTGGTGGTTTGCATGCAAGTTTAGAATGTGGAATAGTGGAGATCTGTCTGTTTGGAGGTTGGTCGTGAGTGAAATGCGGGCATACCGGATAAAGGAACAGCATTTCGTGCTAATGTGATGGGTAAACTCTGTGGTTTTCTCTGTTGATAGAGCAAATGATCAGTAGGGNTCAGTAGGGTGGGTTGAAGACGTTCGATCTTCGTGAGCAGGAAGTGAGGCTCTGAGTTGTTGATGAAAAGGTTCAACTGAAGTTCGCGTGCGTGGTTTGAATTTCTGTGGTAGTTGATAACTTTTGTCTTTTTCAAGTTTAAATAAGTCCATATTAGTTTCTCCTGTAATATATAGAGTTTTATACTAGCGATTTATGTCGCCATCATTATTTTTGTAATTAGTGAACAAATCTATTCTGGTTACGGTGTCAATCCTCAGTCTTTATCAGAATGGGTAAAAGGGTATTTTTAAGAAATTCGCGGAATAAATAAGGATGAGACGTGTGCTAATTCTCGTTGCTCTAAAGGCAGCGTGATTGAAGGCATACAATGCGATACTTCCTATGTATGGTGATCTTAGTCCACGGGATAACGCCAACCACGGAGTGACACGTTGCAGTATCTGGACTACAGTGGTGATTTAACCCCTCCCCCGCAGTTGACGCTAGTCAAGCGCCTACGCGTTTCAGTTTCTGGACGACGAGCCAAAAGCCAATCTTGCTGACCAATCAGAAGTCGTGCGGTCCAAACAGAAGTGGTATGATGTCGAGAATAACAGCAGACGATTGGTGGATACCTGGATAACCAATAAACTTCCTTCACCGCGGAAAGTGGTGATCGCCAGGGTTGCCCTCTTTCTCGTTTTCTATTTAACTTTGTCATAGATCTGATTATGGAAACAGCCCTATCCTCGAGCGAGGATAGCGGCATCGATTTACTCCCAGGTGACAGGCTGTCTGCTCTGGAGTATGCAGACGACATTGTGCTACTAAGTGAAGATCCAGGTAAATTGCCAGCATTTCTGGATAACTTGAATGCCAGTGTAGCCATATTCGGTATGCGTTTTGTACCTTCAAACTGTAAAATACAACTACAAGACTGGGTTACTTGGGCAGCTACATCTCACCCGGTGGACGCATCACGGATGAAGTGTCAGCTCGCATAAAGATTTGGGCAGCTACATCTCACCCGGTGGACGCATCACAGATGAAGTGTCAGCTCGCATACCGTAGGCTCGGTTGGCATTTGCTAACTTGAGACATCTGTGGCGCCGTTGCGACATCCGGCTGTCTGTGAAGAGTCGAGTGTATGCCGCGAC